CTACCAAGCACACGTGCAGCCAACCCCGCTCTTTTCCCTTCACTTCTCTACCTACGGTGCGTTTGGAAGGATGCATGCCAGAGGAGTGTCGTGCACAAATCATCCACAGAAACAAAAAAGGCAAAGGGGAGCAAAGACAGAGCGCAACACACGAAAAAAAAATGCAACAACAACGAAAAAAATACCCCCCCCCCCAAAAAAAAAAAAAAAAAGTACGTGCCACGCAAAAAAAAGAAAAACAAAAAAACAAAAGCAGTAAAATCAATAACACCAGTTACAACCCCCCACCGCCCCGTAACCGCGCGCTCAAACTCGACAAACGGGTGTCGCAAGAGTCCAACGCACAAGTCAAATCCAAACATTTTAATAAAAGAAGCAACTACAAACAAACAAAAACAAAATGTCCATTGATTCCTGTCAAAACTCATTTTTCATTTACGTTCGGCCAATAAACTCGCCCGTGTCGCAGTACAGAACGCACATCCGGAACAACCAGCAGGGCCTCCAACAAGGGAATGAGAGATAGCAAAACATCATCGCTTGCAGCATTGTCTCTTGTACCCATGACTGCGGGTGGAAAAAAGGGAGGTACAACAAGGGCATTCTCTCGGTTGGCCAAAACACTTTCCTCCGTGTTGTCCACCATAATCATTAACTCTGGGGGTACCTTTAAGATCCTGAGATCCTTCACAAGTACCGTGCCACTCACACCCTCACCTCCATCAGATTTTCTGGCGCCCTCGTGAACACAAAAAGGCGGAACAGTGTCACCCATGCGACCAGCCACAACATCGTTGGCGGCTGTTCCACAACTTCTCTCTGGTTGTCCCGTCAAACTTGTCACATTCTGCGCAGCCGTTTTAGTGAAAGATCCCACACTTTCAGCCAAGCTACGCCCTCCGGGCGACACTCCACACGCAGATCGTGGGATCTGTCTGCAATGATGACGGTAGTAGCGACGCTTAATGAGGCGTTCCGGGTCCAGTCGACGAAGAATAGAATCCGCATACGGCTTAGTGGCAGAAGTAAAAAGGGCAAGATTAAACAGCTTCGCCAAAGTTCCAATGAATAAACGTACGTGGGGCCTTTCCCAAACGTAAAAGAGTTCCGCTCCAGAGGCGGTCGGAATGACCTCCGAAAAAGTCGGGGGGCAACAGGAGGAGGTACTTTTTGTAGATACAAAGCAGAGTGTCTCGTCAAGATCCATTATCAGTACTTTCTGACGTGTGGCTTGGTACGAAAGCACATGATGGGATGTGATGGAGGCAATGGGCTGCAGCGGCATTCTTGACCCCTTTGAGCGATCAAACTGCACCTGTTTGCTACTTTCCCGTCGATATACAACAGAAGGGACAGCCCGGAAGTTGCTATTACTTCTAGCATCCACAGAGCCGGAGGTCGAGTTGGACTGAACGCCAACACCACGCAACGGGTGGCACTGACTACTGGTAGTGCTACTGTATTCATCTGTGGTGATGGAAAAATCACCCCCGCGGCCATCGTGTCGTGCAAGGGAGCGGCCCGATGAATGTGGTGGCCACTGGGGTGCGGTGTGTCTCGTTGGTAAAGCCGAAACTGTCGGTTGTTGAATGGGACCAATAATATTGCTCACAAGGCGGTGCAAACTTTCGGAGTGACAAAGATGATACGCCGGCGAGACAAGCGGTAATGCACGTGTCTTCAGTACCCACTCAGAGAGTTCACCCTTGTGACCACGCCGAACATGACGTTGAATCCAACACTCATTCTCCGCGGTATCTCCTTCGGCCATCGATAACGCGGCTTTTCGCCCCATCAACAGAGAATTGCCCTCCCTGCCGCTACTTTCTCTCGGTGAAGCATCATCCCAAGACGACCCCAACCTCTCTAGCGTTGTACAGCTGCTTGATGAAGCATGGGATACGGTAGGATTTGTACTGCGGCGTCGATGCAACGCCAATTCCGCCTTTTTCTTTCGGAGCTGCACCAAAGGGTGGGGATAGGCAAGATGACTTCGTCCGGTGAAGAAGCAAAAGAGTACGTAAAGCGTCTTATGGATGTTTTTCCATGCCACCACACAGTCTAATACAGCATCCTGAAAGAAACAAACAATACAAGGAACGACACTTTTAAATAACCGTTTCATATGACCCCGTGTTGGCCACATAAGCCTATAGGTTTACTAAATATTTATATTTAAGTAACTATTATATATAACGCAGATATTACTTTGTGTATCCACCCTCTAAAAATAATAATAATAATAACAGATTTCAAAATAATAAAAATGTGATGGTACATCTCATAAAATTCCATAAATTCATGCGGCTCTTTCAACCGTAAAAATCATGTATTCATGTCTTTTTAACCGTCATTTATGCATCTTCCATTCTCACTCTCTCTTGTCCAAGGAATATTTCCCTTCAAATTTCTTGTCCGTTGCTTTTTTTCTTTCCCCTCTTTACTCTTCGCACGTCGCGCTCTTGTCGCATAGGAGAGGGAACCATCCCCGCATTACTCCGCGTCGGCGCCATAACCGGAATCCACAACCTCCAAGGGGTTCTCCGCCTGCTGTCGCATGGTCTCTTCGCGTCGCAGCCGCTTTGCTCGCAGGCGTTCTTCTTTCATGTTCTGTTTTCGGCGCACATTTTCGTCCTGTTCAGCCTTTCGTTTTGCCTTTTCGCTTCGCCTTACGCGAACCTTCACGGCATTCTCTGCCACCTCTGTCGGTGTCTTGCTCTCAAACCTATGAAACAGCACTTCGCCACCGGCAAACCCGTTTGTCACCTTCACAAGCTGCAATGTGAGGCGAGGGCCAATCTCGTGCAGTTTAATGCGGCATTGTTCGCGGTGCTGACGAAATGGCTGGGCGAGTGGCACCTCCTCCCCCTCACCGTCCGTGTCGGACCACACATCTTCACGGTGAAGAACATCGTCGATAGACTCCAAAGTCCCAAGCTTCGTTGGGCAACGGCGCTCAAGAAGTTTTTTAACTGTTTTGCTGACGCCCACAGCCTTCGCATTGATAAAATAGTGTCGCACCTCCACAAGATGTTCCACATGGTCGTAGTGAAAGAGGCACACGCGTTGAATGTCGGAGTTCTTCACCAACTGAATGTTCACCGTTGGAAACATGCCCCTAAAAGTTGCCTCCAACAACGGCACCTCAGGGCGTCGCCGTGCATCCGGGTGGGTAAAGTTGTTTAGGACGACAATAGGAGCCACCTCCCAGACGGCTTGGTTGAGTGACATGGGACGGCGTTGTGTCGCGACAATCTCATGACGCAACGTAAAGGAAAGGACACGGAAGTACAACGTCGGACCGTTCGCAAACCGCATGATACGTAGTGACGTTCCATGCGAAGGTGCCGTAAATAACTGTAGGTGGGAGACACTAAATGTTGAGGCAATGGCCAGAAAGTCTTTAAGAGAACTGTTCTTGCCGTGGAGATTCCTGCTGCTCCAAGGAAGAAAGACGGCACGCCAATCATGCATGAGAGCACGAACGTTGTTTCCAACCTCACCTCTGTAAATAATAATAGATTTCGGTGTGGCCTTGTCCGCCTCCGCGGTGTCCACCGTCCCCGGCATCACTTTAGACTTGCCCATAACGTGAGTCCGTGTGTGTGTGTGTGTGTGTGTGTGTGGCTGGAGGTGTGTATTTGTCGGTGCTATTTTTACAATGACTACTGTTTCCTACCAACGCAACCTGCTAGAAACTCTCGTCCGCCACTACCGTCAAAGCAAAAAAACAACAAAAAAAAACATGAAATAAACTATATATATATAGCAACCAAAAAGCTTGAAAGAACCCCGATTTGCGTCACAACAACAACACAAAACAACATTTTATTTTAGATTTCTTACAATCATATCCTCGCCAAATCAAAAATTGGAAATGCAAAATTGCAGACCATTGTCACGCATCTTGGGACTAACGCAGCCAATAGCCGGGGTTTTGAGCGTTGCCATCGATAAGAGTAGCGTACTGGCGTGAGCACGCCCTAATCACGTGTAAAGCCTCCTCGGCTCCACGCAGTTCACCATTAAACGCCAACTCATTCCGCTTCTTTCCATCAGTTGTCTTGTAATCACGCATCCACTGTACAATCGTGTCCCTCAGTTCTTGGGGAATTTTCTCAAGGCTTTCGTACATTTTGCCCTCAGGTCGCAGCGTTTCCGCTATGATTTTCCAGTCCGTCTCACCCTCGTCAATAAGCCCCAACACACCAAGCACGCGCACAGCCCAAATCGAGCCCATAGGGAGAGGGGAATTGGAGACTTCCACAATGTCTATGGGATCTCCGTCGCCAGTGCATTTTGTGTCCGCGTCCACCAACAACGGATCTTCCCATGTTTGTGGAGCAAAGCCGTAGTTGAACGGAATGTCACCGTACGTGTAAAAACGCAGCGGTTTCCCCTCCTTCTTTTTGTGAACATCCTGTGCAAAGGGGTTGTGCGGTTCCTCCTTCTGCAACTCCACTTTCGCCCGAGTTCCCTTTGGGATCTCACAGACAAACGTAACGATGGATCGATCCGCGGCAGGATGCAAGCTGAGATCGTGCCACGCAGAGCGCATCCCCGTCGCCGGCATCGCGGCTTCCGTCCGTGCCTCCGTCACCGGAACCGAGTCGCTGGTGAAGAACATGCGCCATGCATGCGTGCTTGGGGCCCCAACTTCCTGCCGTCTCCACCTTGGGAGCGCCAGGCTAAGCCCAGCAGCGCACCGAACAATGCGGGTACCACGCATTTCACCGCGCCTGTCAAGAACGACCCGAAAACACACCCAATAAAAACTAAAAAAAAAAACAAAATCATTCAAATACAAAAACAGCAAGCATCGACCAAAAAAGAAAAACAGAAAAGGAAAAGACAAAAAAAAAAACGCCGGTGTCGGATACGCACCCACAGGTGCCTTCCACCCGCCGTGCGAATAAGGATATAAACTCCGCTCCTTTTGCTTCTTCGTAGCTGGTTGATGGGCGCTCCTTTCGGGTGAAATCCCAAGGAAAGAAAGAAAACTATCTTACGCTCGAGATCAAGAGTCCGCAGCACCTCCGCAGTGCCTGAGACACAGCGCAAAATACAGGCCACATAATGTACCACGCATACGACCAAACAATTCCAATGGTGCGACGCGCAAAGGGAACATAACTCAGCGCATACCACAACAAACAGCACACCTGAGCAACGGCAAAGGCAATAGCTAAAACACTTGACTTCCAGTGGAGCACAGAAACAAGTGTCAAGATGACGGAAACAGCGTACATAACTGCTGCCTCCATACGCTTGGCATCAAAAATAGACCGAATCTGCTGTTGGATGCCCACCAGAAAGGTTGTCGACCCCAAACAGAAAAGGTTTCCTGCCGTAAGAAAAAAGGC